ATACATACATACATTCATACATACATACATACATACATACATACATACATGACTAAGTCGTAAAAAAAAAGTTTATGGAGCCACGTAACTGAACTCACATAAACATTACTATAAATTCGAGTGAAAAACTGTTTAGATGTCGTGATAAAACAAACAAATATACATCAGGTTCTGTAAATATAGACAGTCGTCATTGTCCTACAGGAAAGTGACGCTTTAGTAAGAAACAAATTTGATATTTAAATCTCGTCTGTTGTATAGTTTAGTCTTTAGAGGATAAAGCTAAGTGAGAGCTCTGTTTTTAAACCCAGAAAGTTGCTACACGTAAGTACATTATAACATTAAAGTTGGGTTATTGGCCGAGCTAAACAGCTGTAATCTACTAATTCTCAGTTGACCCACAAAAGTATTCGGTGTTGTTTTAGAGTTAAATAGTTTTGTTTAGCGTTATTGTTCGTTGTTTTGGGGTGAGAATTATTACATTCAATGATTTTAGCAAAAGGTAAGAGTATCTACCCATTAATGCCCATTACTTTTGCTCAGTAAGACTTGTATTTGAAATATTAAAGAATATATATTTTTTTATAATAGAACCAACAAGCTTAAGTTAATTTTGTATCAGAGATTACAGTAAAAATATTGGTAGTATTAAAGAAGAAAAACTGACACATATTTTCTCATATTGTTTTCATTGTCTTTAACTGTAACGTGAAACTATTATTATGTATTCGCTGTATTCTGTAGTAGGGAATGACTTTGTCTTCTTTTAACGTAAGCATTAATGTTATCTATAGTAATTAGAATACACACACACACACACACACACACAATGTTTCGTGACAAGACAAAACAAAATCAATCCTACACTTGGTTTTAAATGTCCTATAAATTCGAAACAGGAGTCGTGCGTGAAATTATCATAATATTGGTGTTTGTTTGGTTCATTTAGATTAATTTGCGAGTCATTTGTCTTTATTTTAAATCGGTGTCATTCTTTTAGTCTGTCGCGGGATGAAATTGGGTGATTTCTCAGCTCCTTTTGGGGTCTGAGGCGATCGGCGGAATGAATGGAAATGACGAAATGTTGCAAGTAAGGAGATTTTGGGGTAAGGCGCAGAGGGAAATTGGGGGGGGGGGAGAGAGGGCGGTTAATGAGAGAGAACCTGGGCGAGAAGCAAGAGAAACAGAGAGACAGAGAGACAAGGAGACAGAGGGAGAGATTAGTGTGTGTCCCCTCTGGTAATTCCCTGAACTATGTGACGGTTAGCATACCACCAGGTGTATGTTAATTAATTAAAGAGAACTATCGGATGTAGTGTCAGGTAGAAATGTGTATATTATGTCAGATTTATATTGATTTGTATATATAAAATCAATAAATAAAGGTACATATTATAAATATATTGGAGTAAATATATGAACAGTTATATACAGCGGGAGAGATAATGAATTTTAAGTAATTGACCGTAATATTGTAATGTTCCTCTGGCGTCATTGAACCAACAGCCCTTCATCCCCTCAAAAGATAGAATTTCCTTCTTTGGTTAAAATCAATAACAACCAAAACCATAGTGGAAATACCAGAAGCCAAAACATTGTTAAAAAAAAGTTTAATTTGTATTCGTGTGTGTGTGCGTGTGTGTGTGTGTGTGTGTGTGTTTGTGTGTATGTGTGTGTGTGTGTTTGTTATCGTAATCTCCCAGAAGTTTGTATGACAATATTACAAAAATTGCGAAAAATTTCGAGCAAACTGGGTTTTGTAAAATGACTGCGGGCATCGGAAAACCATTAGTTGGTGGGCGCATTCGCTTAGTATTCCTGCCTCGCTGGCAATTTAGTGAACCATTCCTTACCTCTGCCACTAACTCCCCTTCCTCTTACCCATCCCCCTTCTTTCCTCTATCACTAATTCCCCCTTCTTTTTATTTTTCTTTCCGTTTCTTTTTGTTTATCTTCCTTCTTTCATTTTTCTCATCTCCCATTTCAATTTCATCCTTTTTCACCCACTTTCCATAATCTTCCTTCTTCCCATTCTCCTAATCATTCCCTTTTCCTTTCTATCTTATTTCTTTAACACAATATCCTGTCCTTCCTCCTCTTATCCTTTCCCTTTCCTTTTCCATTATTTTTCTCCTCATTTTCCTCTACATTCCACTCTCGTTTCTGTCCCATTCCTCCCTGTTTCCTCTCCTCCTTGCCTTCCCCTGTTCCCTTCCATCTTAATTCCCTCCTATTCACCCTCTCTTCCTTCAATTCTTTCTCTTTCCTCTCCCATCCTCTTTCCCTGTTTTCGACCCACTCTCCCTCCCTCCATCAGTACCGACAACACCACCAATAACCACACGGTTGTTCATTAATCATGTACTTGCTACAACACAACGGCATTATTCTCTCCCTCTCCCTCCTTCCTTTTCTCTCCTTTATTTCCCTCCTCTTTTCAGTCCCTTCCTTTACTTTTCTCCCCCTCTCTCTCTCCCTCTCTCCTAACACAGCGACATTATTCACGCTCTCTCTCCCTCCTTCCTTTTCTCTCCTTTCTTTCCCTCCGCATTTCATCCCCCCCCTCTACTTTTCTCTCTCTCTCTCTCTCTCCTTCTGTCTCTCCCACCAATAACAACAATATAGACTCTATTACAACTACAACTAATAAACAGTTGCTATTATTTATACGTTTGTTATAGCCACAACCATCTCCTCTCATCCTTCACCTCCCTCTCTCATTCCCTTCCATTCCCGTCCCTCCAACTTCCCTCCACCTGCAATAGCAATAACCAACCTCTACGACCGTGATTGTAGCCGTTATTCATCTGTTTTGTGCGATGACCATGAAGTATAATAACAAAGGCGAGTTATTATTTGCGTAATTTCACTCACAACCACAACAACTACAGCAACCACAACAACTACAGCAACAACAACAACTACAGCAACCACAACAACTACAGCAAAACTACAACAAGCATAAATACACAACCACCCATTGTAATGAGACTAAATTGTTTTCATGTTATTATTCACATTTATGACATCTAAAAAAAAAATATTTGGCCACAAAAAAAATGATTAGAGAAAGACAGACATAAAAGATTTACACAAACACATAAATATTACCTCTTTTTTTACGTCATATGTGCTAGATTTAGCCCCTACCAACACTGGCCTCCAACACTGGCCTCCAACACTGGCCTCCAACACTGGCCTCCAACACTGGCCTCCAACACTGGACTCCAACGCTGGCCACCAATATTTGTATCCAACACCGGCCTCCAACGCTGGCTTCCAAAACTGATTTCCAGTATTATCCTCCAACACCACCCCCAACATAAGCCTCTGAAATGGGTCTCCAACACGATAATGATTGTGTTTAGGACTTGGTATACAAGTTGTCCTTCCAACGTTGTGTGTATGTGTGTGTGTGTGTGTGTGTGTGTGTGTGTGTGTTCACTGTAGTATATTATGTTCGTGTTTGTTTATCTCTATTTTCGAGTTTTTTTTTTCATTTAATAAGACGAATAACTCATAAGGTCAAATTGTAAAGGTCCCGACGTCTATATTTTCTGCTTTCTTCTTTCTGTCTCTCTCTGTCTCTTCCTCTCAGGAGGATTTTTATGGAAGAAGAGCAGCTGGATCAGCCCATCCCGGCTGCCACCAGTGGCTGCCCAGTAAAGCGATCATTACTGAATATAATGTAACGCGCCTGGGTCCTCTGACCGCCTTTTGGCTCAATCCACGCGTATGCGGGTAAAGCGAGCACTGACTGGGCCAAGTATATTATAATATGCGCCCCTGATTGGTCTTCGTCATTCTGGTATATATATATATATATATATATATATATATATATATATATATATATATATATATATATATATATATATATATATATATATATATATATATATATATATGTGTGTGTGTGTGTGTGTGTGTGTGTGTGTGTGTCCGGAAGCTGCAGCTTCTACTGATTTATAATGTAATGAAACTTACGAAAAAATCCTGCTCCCCTAAAAAAAATTAATTCTTTTTAGTTAATTATTGTCTCTTTCAAAACATAAACCTAGTTAACGATGCTTAAATAAACACACAGTTGAAATTCCTTAAAATGACGAGGAATGAAAAACGAATTAAAGAATACATTAAACACGAGAACAAATAATAAATAAACAGACAAATGAATTAAAAAAAATAGTATAACTAACGACACAGGTATTGATGATTCACTTTAAAGTAATATGCACACTCCTCACACCTTTATATAAGTGTCCGTCATTACATTCATACATAATGAGAGGTCATTATCACTCACTCCCGAATGAAAGAAAAAGAAAAAGAGCTCATGTATGTTGTTCCACTTTCATTAACGACAAACCTATACAAAACACGCTGGGAAGAGTCTCATTACGTCTCATAGTCTGTCAAGTAGGAGTGAAAATCTTCCTATCAAGCGTGTCAGGATTAGTTCACGTTTACCAGTATTAATGTGAATAGAATCATTATTAAAATAGCCTCGATTGCTGTCATAAACGTTGGATTACAGAAGAAAAAAGTAAATTAAAATATCTAGTAATGTTCCCGCCATATTCCTTACAAAATCGAACTGCAGTGTTTTCCGTGTTATGTGAATTATATAATACTCTCACCTCTTGTATTATCTCATTAACACTGCATTACACACCAGCATTCCTGACTTGTTTGGAGTTATTACATTAGATATGAAATAAATGATGCATTCAATTCATTCTCATGATTAAATTCTATGAAAACCGAACATTGTAAAGACTACAGGTGATGTATACATTAACCTGACGTATTTGTTGTTAAAATGTAATGGTTTTGTTCGACCAACCAACCCCCCATGAATAAGTTCAGGTCCTGACACACATTTCGGAAGACCTCTGCCATAAGAGTGAGAAGATAAATGTATGTTGTCTCTACGTATTGGGGTCATCTTGCCTCACTTCACTCAGGTGAGACACATAACACTTAAACATATATCTTACCTACGTGAATGTGTGCCAGGGTGATGATATACCATATAGTGAGAGGTGTAAGCTGCTCCTGCTCACTTTGGTCACCCAGTCTCACTCACTGACGCCTGACTGGAAAAAAAAGGTACATCTTTTAGCTAAGTCAATATAGGTCGTCTTCTCTGTATTCACAATTTATTTAACAAGTAGACACAGGTTATGGAGTACACGAGTTTTGTAGGGACTAGTATTAAGACAAAACTGTAGGAAGAAAATATGAATTTTTGAGGACAAATCTGGTATATTTGTAGTACTGATGATAAGTAAAGATTTGTTATGGGAGCTGAGGAGCAGGATTCTGTAACCGATGTTTGACACGAAAGAGACAACATAATTCTTTCGGAGGGAAAAATGATAATGACGGAAACGAAGTAGATTCCATATTCTTTTTTTAAGTAAATGAAAACACGATAGGTATAATGTAAGACAATGTGGAAGAACCCAGCAGTTGTTTTATCCAAGATATATTGGGTTGAAGGTAATGGCACCTCTACAATTTTCGGTGCTGATTTATAAATACTATAGGGAGAGAGTTTATATGTTTATAACTGATATTAAAGATGTTTTGGAAAATGTGGATGAAAGTTAAGTGGGAAGGACAATCTAAGAGGATGTGTCATGAGAGACAGAAAGTCTTTGGGGAGGTCGAGGAAAATGGCACCGAGGAAAACTTTGAGGGAAAAATATAAATTTACGAGGAGAGAGTTTGCTCCCCAGCTTTGATGGTCAACAGCAGTAAAGAGCGTGTTAGTGTGGGTTGTTGTGCCGCTGTGATGGTGCGGGCTCCAACAGAATGGGATTTCTGCGTTGTTTCTGCACCAGAGATTTCATGCCATCGACAGAGAAAATGTGCGAAGGTTTTAGGAATGTATGATGCCTCAGAGCTATACGTGTTCGTGTTGCTAAATTTCGCGTGTTGTACCCAGGAGGGAAGGACATTATTCTCTGTACCTCGGCCTCTCAGTTGCACATTGTCGAGTACGAGAGCAGGACTGGAAGAAGGAGTGTTCAACACCTTTCACAAAGAGAATTGACAATTAGTATGGAAGGAATAATTTATAACCATATAATCGTCCGAATAAAGCTCAGTACAATTACCTAAAAGTCCTTTGACCTTCGAGGGATAACAAAGACATGTAGATGAAAAAAAAAACTTATTATGTAGCGTCAAAGATCATTTCTCAGATTTAAAAGAAAAATTACACATGGAGTCGTTTTCTTGGGAAGTGAATTGAAATATGACATCTATTTTCTTCTCCCTGTCTCTCCTCACAGTTTGGAATTTGACTTGCATGTCTCAGTAACTCTGTGTCTATTAAATATTAATTCCTTTGTCTAGCAAGCCACTACAGCAAGACCTCGACGGGAATGTATACTTAAAAAGACTCTCTTTTCTATCATTCAAACGGTGGGTGAAATACAAGTCGATCATGGCTGAATTATGTGCAGTGGGAATATGTTCAAAATCATTAAATGGTTTATCATACATTTTATAAATAAGAGGAAGACAATTTTTTGCTTGAATACACCATCATACATATGTATATTTCTAAGCATGTTTACATAATTCAACACACCACACACACACAGACACACACATACACGCATTTGTTTGGACTGTCATGTATGAAAGGGCACCACCATGATGAAAGGACAGGCACGTTATCTCGTCAGAAGACAACACCATGGATTAAGAGATTACAGCATCATGGATTAAGAGATTACAGCATCATGGATTAAGAGATTACAGCACCATGGATTAAAATATAACATCACCATGGATTAGGACTAACAGCAGCATGGATTATAAGAGGGCAACAACCTGGATTATAAGTTGAGAATAAAAAGGAACCAAATTAATTATGCAGTTTTCCTGGACAAACTATAAAACTTTTGTACTCGTGAATAAACATCGAGTGATTTTTGTATTATATAAAGTTGTCCACACTTTTAAACGTCTCTGAAAAGATTACAAATAGACGAACCTGACAGACGGACAGATAGATGGACGGACGGGCAGACAGATAGACTAAGGCAGGCAGGCAGGTAGGCAGACAGACAGACCAAGACAGAGGCAGACAGACAGACAAACATACAGACAGACCAAGACAGAGACAGACAGACAGACAAACAGACAAACAGACAAGCAGACAGACCAAGACAGAGACAGACAGACAGACAAACAGACAGACCAAGACAGAGAGCAGACAGACAGACAGACAGACAGACCAAGACAAACCAAGACAGAGGCAGACAGACAGACAAACAGACAAACAGACAGACAGACAGACAGACAGACAGACAGACCAAGACAGAGGCAGACAGACAGGCAAACAGACAAACAGACAGACAGACCAGACCAAGACAGAGACATACAGACAGACATACACTATAATGAGAGAAACAATTACAGTATAAGTTTATCACTGAACTGTTTAGAGACGTGTGCAGGAATTAATGGCGTGTTTCCCTTGTCTCCTCACACGTGACCACCCATACACTGCATAGGAAATAAATGACTGTAATCCATAGAAGAAAAAAAAGAGTAATTTCTATTGGGAATGGTGATAGCTTATCTTAATAGGTTATCTCAGAATTAAGATTAGGATAATTTGGTACTTTTGGTGATTATTAGTATTATTATTGTTATTGTTATTATTATTGTTATTGTTATTATTATTACTACTTCCTAATCAATATGTTAATTTTATCTTTTGTCAATATCATTAATAAAGACAGATGTAGATATAGAAATAAAAACAGCAAGAAAAAACAAGAGAGAGAAAATTCCCTTTACATTACTTTATACTTAAAATCTCTTTACAATGAAAACGTTATACACACACACACACACACACACACACATACACACACACACACACACACACACACACACACACACACACACACACACACACACACACACACACACACACACACACACACACACACACTTTTTTCCTTCTTTTATATATCTCTGTCAATTTAACACAACATTATCATCCCCTCCCTTTCATTCTCACCCTGTTATTACATTTCCTGTCTTCCCCTACCTTCACCCTCTTGCCCATTACCATCCATTCTGACTCTCTCTCTCTCTCTCTCTCAGTGAACCTTTCTTTCATCATCTTCGTGGCGCTCTCTCTCTCTCTCTCTCTCTCTCTCTCTCTCTCTCTCTCTCTCTCTCTCTCTCTTCTTACCCGCCACCCTCGCCTATCATGACCAAGAAAGAGGAAAATACCGTAAATGATGGTAAGAGTTAGTGAAGGGTGTGAGGGATATTAATGGGAAGGTGAACAAAAGTTGAAAAATAAAAAAAAAATCGAGGGAAATTTCATGTTTGTTTTTTGTTTCAAGAAAATCTAAACAATGCAACGGTGTATAATGAAAAATACAACAGTCTAGTGGATAATACATCGGTGTGGTGAATAACATAACATACTAATAATTAATAACACAATCTAGTAAAAAAAAAATACAACGGTAGTTAATAATACATCAGTTTAATATTCAATTCAATTTTTTTTTACTTATTATTACATTTACATTTACAGGGTGTGAGGTGTCTTGTCAGTGTATCGATTTAGTACACGAAAGATTGCCAGTGAATCTATTTTGAATATCGAAGGTCTGTTAATTCGTCTTATCGTCCCTTTGCATACATGATATTTTTCCCGTGGTAATCTCTCTCTCTCTCTCTCTCTCTCTCTCTCTCTCTCTCTCTCTCTCTCTCTCTCTCTCTCTCTCTATTTATTCATCCAGTTATCTATCTGTTTATCTGTCTAATTATTCATCCATCCATCCATCCATCCATATAAGACTTCATACTTAAACATAATATACCACCCCCTCAAAAAAAAATAAATAAAATAAAATATATATATATATATATTCTCCCTCAGTATCCAAAAGTTAATACAAGAAAATTGCGCCAACTTTTCTCCCTTGTACGGAAACTGAGCCGATGAGTCGGGTTGGAATCCCTAATTACTGAGGTCAGGAGAGGATCTAATTTAAAGTTAAGGGATCAGATGGTCACGAGAGATGTTGAGACACTGACAGTCTAGCGAAACGTCGGCTAGTTGGAGACAGTTGCTGCATAGAGATAGTTTTAGTTAGAGGTATGTTCAAGAGAGAGAGTTGGTTTGAGAGATAGACATGGTTGGGGCAGCTGGTTTGAGAGATAGATAGGGTTGAGTACAGCTGGTTTGAGAGATAGACAGGATTGGGACAGCTGGTTTGAGAGATAGAGAGGGTTGAGTACAGCTGGTTTGAGAGATAGATAGGGTTGGGACAGCTGTTGGGACAGCTGGTTTGAGAGATAGACATGGTTGGGGCAGCTGGTTTGAGAGATAGATAGGGTTGAGTACAGCTGGTTTGAGAGATAGACAGGATTGGGACAGCTGGTTTGAGAGATAGAGAGGGTTGAGTACAGCTGGTTTGAGAGATAGATAGGGTTGGGACAGCTGCTTTGAGAGATAGAGAGGTTTGGGACAGCTGCTTTGAGAGATACACTAGATAGAGACAGGTACTCCATAGAGACAGCTGGATAGTGACAGAGGATAGGTGGGGATTGCTGGCTAGAAAGAGACACTTGTAGACGATGAGACATAATTATGATGGCTACTTAACAGACACAGGTAAGTTGGCTACATACAGACACTTCACGATAATTTACAGACAACATTACAACAGATTAAAGACAAATGTATACTCAAAGACAGACAACTAGACAGATTTTAACAGACAGAAAGATAAAAGTTCAAGAAAGTCGTCGACCACAGAGTAAATATAGGAACTCATTGACAAATTATTTCTTATTATTTCCTATGTGTAATTGTGTATTCTTTACTATAAGACAACTCTACACCAAAAAATCATCCGTTATTATCTGTAGTGAAGATTATTATTAACTTTTAAATTCATTAACTTTCTAATTCCCTGAAGACTTTAACTAATGGTCACACGATACGTCATTAGCCAGCTGAGCTTTACCATAAGAGAGGATAATTTGTCGAGTGCTGGAGTGTTTTCGAGGCGACTCACTTCACCTAAGCCACTGATTACTTCCTT